TCTGGTAGCTTTTAAATGTGTTTGCCCTTGCTTCTCTAGTTCTTTTAATTTTTTATTTTACAGTGTCGATTTTAGATCTTTCTTGCCTTCTCTTGTGACCATTTAGTGCTATAAATTTCCCTCTACACACTGCTTTAAATGTGTCCCAAAGATTCTGGTACATTGTATCTTTACTCTCATTGGTTTCAAAGAACATCTTTATTTCTGTCTTCATTTCATTATTTATCCAGTAGTCATTCAGGAGCAGGTGTTCAGTTTCCATGTAGTTGTACAGTTTTGAGTGAGTTTCTTAATCCTAAGCTCTAATTTGATTGCATTGTGGTTTGAGAGACTGTTACGATTTCTGTTGTTTTGCAATTTGCTGAGGAGTGTTTTACTTCCAATTATGTGGTCAGTTTTAGAATAAGTGCGATGAGGTGCTGAGAAGAATGTATATTCTGTTGATTTGGGGTAGAGAGTTCTGTAGATGCCTATTAGGTCTGCTTGGTCCAGAGGTGAGTTCAAATCCTGAATATCCTTGTTAATGTTCTGTCTTGTTAATCTGTCTAATATTGACAATGGCATGTTAAAGACTCCCACTATTATTGTGTGGGAGTCTAAGTCTCTTTGTAGGTCTCTAAGAAGTTGCTTTATGAATCTTCATGCTCCTGTACCATATTTAGGATAGTTAGCTCTTTTTGTTGCATTGATCTCTTTAACATTATGTAATGCCCTTCTTTGTCTCTTTTCATCTTTGTTGGTTTAAAGTCTGTTTTATCAGACTAGGATTGCATCCCTTACTTTTTTTTTTTTTTCTGGGTAAATATTCCACCATCCCTTTAATTTGAGCCTGTATGTGTCTTTGCACATGAGATGGGTCTTGACTCCTTATCCAATTAGCCAGTCTATGTCTTTTAATTAGAGCATTTAGCCCATTTACATTTAAGGTTAATATTGTTATGTGTGAGTTTGATCCTGTCATTATGATGATAGCTGGTTATTTTGTCCATTAGTTAATGCAGTTTCTTCATAGTGTTGATGGTCTTTACAATTTGGTATGATTTTTGCCGTGGCTAGTACTGGTTGTTCCTTTCCGTACTTAGCACTTCCTTCAGGAGCTCTTGTAAGGCAGGCCTGGTGGTGACAAAATCTCCCAGCATTTGCTTGTCTGTGAAGGATTTTATTTCTCCTTTGCTTATGAAACTTAGTTTGGCTGGATATGAAATTCTGAGTTGAAAATTCTTTTCTTTAAGAATGTTGAATATTGGCCCCCACTCTCTTCTGGCTTTTAGGGTTTGTGCTGTTAGTCTGATCTGCTTCCCTTTGTAGATAACCTGACCTTTCTCTCTGGCTGCCCTTAACATTTTTCCATCATTTCAACCTTAGTGAATCTGACAATTATGTGTCTTGGGGTTGCTCTTCTCAAGCAGTATCTTTGTGGTATTTTCTGTATTTCCTGAATTTGAATGTTGGCCTGCCTTGCTAGGTTGGGGAAGTTCTCCTGGATAATATCCTAAAGAGTATTTTCCAACTTGGTTTCATTCTCTCTGTCACTCTCAGGTACACCAATCAAATGTAGATTTGGTCTTTTCACATAGTCCTATATTTCTTGGAGGCTTTGTTCGTTCCTTTTCATTCTTTTTTCTCTAATCTTGTCTTCTTGCTTTATTTCATTAAGTTGACCTTCAATATCTGATATCCTTTCTTCTGGTTGCTCAATTCAGCTATTGATACTTGTGTATGCTTCACGAAGTACACATGCTGTGTTTTTCAGCTCCATCATGTCATTTATGTTCTTCTCTAAACTGGTTATTCTAGTTAGCAATTCCTCTAACCTTTTTTCAAGGTTCTTAGCTTCCTTGCATTGGGTTAGAACATGCCCCTTTAGCTTGGAGGAGTTTGTTATTCCCCACCTTCTGAAGCCTACTTCTGTCAATTTGTCAAACTCATTCTCCATCCAGTTTTGTTCCCTTGCTGGCAAGGAGTTGTGATCCTTTGGAGGAGAAGAGGCCTTCTGGTTTTTGGAATTTTTGCCTTTTTGCGCTGGTTTCTCCCCATCTTCGTGGATTTATCTACCTTTGGTCTTTGATGTTGGCGACCTTTGGATGGGGTCTCTGAGTGGACATCCTTTTTGCTGATGTTGATGCTATCCCTTTCTGTTTGTTAGTTTTCCTTCTAACAGTCAGGCCCTTCTGCTGCAGATCTGCTGGTGTTTGCTGGAGGTCCACTCCAGACCCTGTTTGCCTGGGTATCACCAGTGGAGGCTGCAGAACAGCAAACATTGCTGTCTGTTTCTTCCTCTGGAAGCTTCATCCCAGAGGAGCACCGGCCAGACGCCAGCCAGAGCTCTCCTGTATGAGATGTCTGTCGGCGCCTACTGGGAGGTGTCTCCCAGTCAGGATAAACAGGGGTCAGGGACCCACTGGAGGAGGCAGTCTGACCCTTAGCAGAGCTTGAACACTGTGCTGGGAGATCTATTGCTGTCTTCAGAGCCATCAAGCAGGGTGTTTAAGTATGCTGAAGCTGTGCCCACATTAACCCCTTCCACCAGGTGCTGTGTCCCAGGGAGATGGGGGTTTTATCTATAAGCCCCTGACTGGGGTTGCTGCCTTTTTTTCAGAGATGCTCTGCCCAGAGGAGGAATCTAGAGAGGTAGTCTGGCCACAGCAGCCTTGCTGAGCTGCAGTGGGCTTCTCCCAGTCTGAACTTCCTGGAGGCTTTGTTTACACTGTGAGGGTAAAACTGCCTACTCAAGCCTCAGCAATGGTGGATGCCCCTCCCCCACACCAAGCTCGAGTGACCCAGTCCGACCTCAGACTTCTATGCTGTCAGCAAGAATGTCAAGCCATTGGATCTCAGCTTGCTGGGCTCCCTTGGGGTGGGGCCCACCGAGCCAGACCACTTGGCTCCCTGATTTCAGCCCCCTTTCCAAGGGAGTGAACAGTTCTGTCTCCCTGGTGTTCCAGGCACCACTGGGGTATGGGGAAAAAAATTCTGCAGCTAGTTCAGTGTTTGCCCAAATGGCCACCCAGTTCTGTGTTTGCAACCTAGGACCCTAGTGGCGTAGGCACTGGAGGGAATCTCCTGGTCTACGGGTTGTGAAGACATGGGAAAAGCACAGTATCTGAGCCACAGTGCGCTGTTCCTCCGAGCACAGTCCTTCACGGCTTCCCTTGGGTAGGGCAGAGAATTCCCCGACCCCTTGCGCTTCCCGGGTGAGGCAATGCCCCACCCTGCTTCAGCTCGCCATCCGTGGGCTGCACCCACTGTCCAACCAGTCCCAGTGAGATGAACTGGCTACCTCAGTTGGAAATGCAGAAATCACCTGACTTCTGCATCAATCTTGCTGGGAGCTGCAGACCGGAGCTGTTCCCATTGAGCTATCTTGCCAGCAGATTCCTTGATGGGTTTTTGTTTTTATTTTATCCTATTTTATAACCTTGGGGGTTTGACTGTGGTATAAGGTGGGTTTAGCTGACTGGCTTTGTTTCTGGAAGACTTTAGGGGGCCAAGGTTCAGCTTGGAACTCTTCGACTGGGGAACTGGTATCTGGCGCAGCTTTGTTCCCTGGCTCTTCAAGGTTAGGAACTTGCTGTACTGGAGGGGCCAAGGTGCTCACAGACCACTGGCCACAACACTCTGATGAGTGTTGCAGCTAAAGCACTTCATAGGATGGTAGCAGTGAGATATATCCTCATTTGCGCATGCCAGAAGCAGCAGCAGCAGCAGCACAGCTGAGTTCATGCCCATTGGCTACAGTGGGGTGCTAGCAGGTGCTGGATTACCAGCTTCTGTATGAGTGTTCACCGCAGCCGCACAGGCAGCACAATGCAGGGGTATGGGGGGCCCCCACTGATGTCTGCACATGCATTCACACTGGTGGTGGTGTTGGCACGAGGATGGGTCACTAATGGGCACAGGATTGTGTGCACCCTCTGTGCACATTCACATGGGCAGCAGTGGCAGCTCAGAGTAGGGGCAGGTCTGCTGTTCTCTGTGCCTAGTTTCACCCAGGTGCAGTGTAGGGCAGGGGTGTGATGCTAGTGGTAGTGGGGTTGGCAGGCTCTGTACCTATCAAAACTCCCACAGCAATGGCAGTTCAATGGGGTCATGGGGAGGGGTGCACTCACACCAGCACCAGTGGCATGGCAGGGTGTGTGCCCACATACACACACTGGTAAGGAAGGGGACGTAATGTTTGCCCACACATACGCATGCCAACAAAGCAATGTAGGGGTGGATGTGGGTAAGTGCATGCAGGCAAAGCAGCATGAAGAGGCTGCAGTGGGAGGTGTGAGTGGATGGGTGCATGTCAATGGTGGCTACTCTGCTGGAGCTTTCTGTGGTCAGGCATGGTCTGCCAGCACAGGAGCTATGATGAAGGTGCCCAGGAGGTACCCTTTGGGTACCCAAGGCTACACTGCAAGCAGGCACAGCCAGGCTGGGGCCCCAGGGGAGGCCAGTATACCAAGGGGTACTCAGACTGTACTGGCCCAATCTCATGGGCAAGATCATCCTGCAGAGTTCAGGTCTTACATTTCCCCCAGCACTAATGTCTCCTAGAGAAGCAAGTCAAGCCTAGGGAAGTGGGCGCCCCTGGCTATGCTCCACTACAGATGCTCCTGCAGCAAACCCTCTGGTCTTCACGTCAGCTGAAGTTCTGACTCTACCACTTCTCTATAAAGCTCTCCCTGCCAACTCAATTGTCCTGAGCAGGCAAATAGGTTGCTCAACTCACTCCTTTCCTGGTAGTCACCGAATGCCAGGAATTAGTCCCAGTAGCCCCATGCAGGGCTCCCAGATTCTTCCTTTTTCAGCCTAGCATCTGTGTCTTCCCTCCATCCACTCTCAATGCCTTTCCTCTGAAGATCTGTTAGGAGTGTGCCAGTCTTAATGTTACAGTCCCTCAGAGACAGATGTTCCTTCTAGTTGCATCTAGTTAGCCATCTTGCCCCCAATCTACATCAGTCTTTACATATCCTTTTAATTATTTTTTTAATTGCTGAGCTAAGAAGAATATGCACATTTTAAATGTTTTATTGCATATCGTATATATAATTACATGTTACATATTTTATATTGACCTCCCAAAAGATAGTATACTCCTTGTAACATTTTATTAGGATATTTGCTTCCCCACAACCTTCCCATAATTAAGTGTTGTCATAAGTCTGAATATTTAGCTAGTTTGATAAGTATAGAACGATATCCCCTTATTTTGTCCACTAGTTATAGTTTACCAACTCCTGCTCTAAGGGATTCAGAAATAGCACTTACAGAAAAAGAATTATTAGGCTGAAGGGGTACAGGCAATGAAGAACCAAGGATTTCTAAGAGGGTAGGGCTACCACTTCCCGTCAGAGGGGAAGAAACATCAGAGGCAACAGATCTGATCTTAACTATAAAAGTGGTCCAGCCAGGTAGGAAGACAGCTCCCTAAGGGTATGCCCAGAGCTGCCAGTAAAACAGGCCCTAGGTGAGAGGGAGGAGTTGGCCTTGATGGTCAGCTCCACTAGGCCATCTGCACACTGATCTACTGACTTTCACAAAGAATAACAAGGAATGAGGACTGGAACCTGGAAGGGAAGCACCCTCCTGCCATCATCCCCTCAACAATGTCCCTCTAGCACCCTCTGTTGATAAAGCTTAGCATCAAGCCAGCTGGAGAAAAAATCTTTACCAGGTTCAGCTCCAGTATCACAAAGCAGTATGCAGAATGGTAGTTGGAGCTGAAAGACAATACATTGAAAACTGATATATAGGTGTAAGATTTTTCTGGTGATTCAGCTTTATTTAATGATATAAAGGAACAAAAACTTAGCATATCCTTGTAATCTAAACATCAAGTCTTAGCAGAGCTTTTGACAGACTATAGCAAATGGATGACATAAATGACTCCAATCCTTCCTTCCTCCCTTTACCCATATCTTTTGCCACATGCCTTTGCAGTTCTGACCCCTAAAAAGGCAGGGTCTACTTCCTTACCTTTTGAATTTGGAAAGCTCTCCTGTTCTTGGATGGTTTTGCAACTTGCTCAAGCCAATGTTATCAGACGTGATGCAAGCAGAAGCCTGAAATTTTATTTATATGTCTCTGCCTACCTATTGCCCACTGCCATTGTCATGAAAACATGTCCAGTTTTGACCTACTGGAGGACATAAGACACGTGGAGTGAAACCAAGTCATCCAATTTTGCAAGAATGACTAGATCAACCAACAGCCTGCTGGCACACAGTCATGGAAGCAAGCCCAGCCAAGAACAGCAGAGCTGCCTAGCTGACAGATACATGAGCAAGCCCTGCCATGACCAGACTAGATGAGGGGAACTCCAGAGTATAAGCTGAATAAATGCTTACTGTTGTATACTACACAGATGTTTTGTTTATTACACAGCATTACAATAACAACACTAATTCGTGTTAACTAATACACTTTCCTTCTATATATTAATAGATGAAAGCAACATGATTTGTATACCACACAGGTTTATGGGTAGCAGATGTTTTACTATGAAAGCTCAGATTCCTTCTTATTTTCCCACATTAAAAATATCCAACCTCAGCTTCTAGGTAATGGTTAGGTATACTGTAAGTCAGGGTGAAAACTTTTCCCAGGACCATCTTTGGAGTTGCTAGACATGAGCATGAGTAAACTGCTAATGAATCTGTTAAGGCATAAAAGAGGACCCTAGCATTTGCAGGCTAGAGGAGTGGTTTCTTTCATCCTTAATACCTCCAGTTTAGAAGTCCTCAGCACATTCATAGAGACGTCCAAACTTACCTACATCAGCAGCTTAGCCCACCACCATCTACTCTATCTAAAAAGGTCCACCACAACACAAAATCTACATAAGAGCAAAACATAAAAGCTTTTCTTCTTCAGCGCACTTCTACTAGGTCATTCCAAGAATCTTACTCTGAATAAAGGCATTTTCCTGATAAGGTACTCAAGATCCCCGTGCCATACCCTGTCAGCCTCCTGTAGCCTGCCATCCTTCATCTTTCTCCCAACCCTGATTTATCTCTATCCTACCATACATCAAACCTGCTCTCAGATGTGAGCTTCCATGGGACTCACATTCACTGAGATTACAGTGACTGATAACTGAGGGGCAATTGAAGCTTACCAAGGAAAGGGTTTAAGTGTAAAAGACAGACTGGCAGACATCAGTAGTAGAATAGGAAGGAAGGTGGGGAGCGCAGCCGGAGGCAGGGCCAGCTTCATGGGTGGGAGACATGTATAGTCAAACAGTGCCCTGCACCTATAAGAATCCCCCACTTGGTTTAATGTTCTGCTGCTGCCACCTTGAAACTTTCAGTAATTTTTGAACAAGGGATTCTGCATTTTCATTTGTGTTCGGTCCCAAGGATCCTGTAGCTGGGCTTGTCCAGAGGTAACAGATTGTTCTTCCAGATGTGTTCTGTTCTACAAAAGAGTGGGATTTCATGTATGGAAATAATTTTATCTACAAAGTCTTCTAGGTGTCAATAATCTAATAAGCCACTGAAGTCTAATCCTAACATCTACTATTTTAAACCTCCATTTTTTCCTCCTTTTCCATAGTCATTTATATGCCAGTGCATACACCCTTTAAAAAGAGTGGAAACAGATATTGGTAAAAGTCTGAAAATGATCTGTGAGAGGACTGTTTTGATTTCCCCCAAAATAGAACAAATTTACTATTAATAACCCTGGATCATGTTAAACGTACTGCTGGGACTGCCATATAAACCCTTATCTCTCTTGACTTCATTCCACATTCTGTTCTGTGGCAGGGAAAATGGAGATCTAAAATGCAATTTTTCCCTAAAGGTAACATTTTATGTACTATTTATTAAACCTACATTGTGTGTCAGGTATCTTTAAAAACCCATTAAAATGACTTCTTTCTAAAATAGCCTTTTCAATTACCTCTCAACGTAATACCTTTGTAACTCTTCCAGATGTTTTAAAGCCCAAGGACTGGAGTTTCCTAGAAGTGTCATTATTGCTTCCAGGCAACAATGAATCTGTTTACTGAATTTTTCCTTAGGCTTTCTTTGTTGCACTATATTTTATATCCTTCCTTTGTGGAACATCCCCCAGAGTCCATCCACATCCCATTAATACAAGGGAGAAAACCCCAGCCCTTGGATTTTGTTTCCCCCTACTAACAAATGAATGAGGCTGACTGCCTGTCTGTTTAATACAGTGACACAGAAACTCCCATTCATCTCTAAATCTGCTGCTAAAAGAGTTTAAAAATCCAATCTCTAGAGTCATCCTTTGTATTAATAATTATTACTGAAATGATTATTTTTAAAGTATAATGGATACTTGGAAGAGGCTATATAATACTGAGCAGAAAATAATTAAATACTCACATCTCTTCCATTCTTCTTAGAGCTTCTGTTAGATATGCAGAAGAAGTCAATGATGTTAGAGATGTTATCTTCTCGCTACAAATTGAGGGATCACATACTCAATTTATACACCAAGCAGGAAGGAATCCTTTCCACCAGGAAGAACTTAATCAATCTTCCTACTGATGTAGCCCGTGCAGGTCCTAACTGTAGCAAACAAAGAAAATCATGGTAAAGAACACAAAATGCAACCAGTAGTGAGAGAAAAAAGAATCAAGACAAACAGAACTTGGGATACTGAGAAAACACAATGGCCAAGGAATCCATAAAACCTATTTCTTTTACAGGGAATTTAGCTGCCCGAACTCCTCAGACTATATAAAAAAGGAGCAAAGTCTTTTTTTAGCATGACCTTTGATCATTAACAGGATCACAGTCTGAGAGCTGAATACAAATAAAGGACTCTATAATGAGAAAACAACAATTCGTGCAAGTATCACAGAGCAAAATATTATGAAAATAAAAGAATAACTGAGACAACACAAGGAGATATAAACAATAGATCAGAACAGAGATTGTTCCTTGGATCACGCCTATCTGGGATAAAGTTTTATAGAGTTTTTATTTGTTTTTTTTTTTTTTTAAATTGGCCAGGCACACTGGCTCACCCAGCAGTTTGGGAGGCTGAGGTGGGTGGATTAGCTGAGGTTAGGAGTTCCAGACCAGCCTGACCAACATGGAGAAACCCCGTCTCTACTAAAATTACAAAATTAGCCAGGCGTGGTGGCGAATGCTTGTAATCCCGGCTACTCCAAAGGCTGAGGCAGGAGAATCACTTGAATCTGGGAGGCAGAGGTTGCGGTGAGCCGTGATCATGCCATTGCACTCTAGCCTGGGCAACAACAGCGAAATTCCATCTAAAATAATAATAATAATAATAATAATAATGCATATCAAATTGAGCTTAAAATAATGTTTAGCACTCATTCCAGAGTCTGAGTGTAGTCACTACACAAACCTTCGTCTTCATAAAGCTCACAGTTTATAAATTCCAACAAATCTTTAGTATTAAACACAGTATAAATACAGACCTGTTTATCATGGGAAGTCATTCCAAAAGAGAATAGAAAACAAAAATGTAAACTGCATCCCTAATCACAATATGAGAAAGAAATGACAAGTTCAGCAAAAGGTAAATTTGGAGTGTGGTAAGCTTTTAAGAAAATTTTGTGCCTGCAAGCCCAGACAAAACTGGAAAATATCAGTAGTTCAAAAAGTTATTGGCATACCTAGAAAGTGCAACTATTCATTCTATCAGGACTACTGAAATATACCCTGTCTCATAAGTATACATGAATTTGCTTTGTCCTGTTGAGTAAAATGAAATAAAAGTTAATAGAAGACACATACACTCAATACTGTTTTATAAGGAAATTAAGTAGAGCATCTTGGTTTGAGGGGAAATTTAACTCACCTGAGGATGTGTAACAATTAAAAAAGAGCCAGAATAAGATGAAGAATATTTATATTAATATTGCCATGGAACCAATAAAAGTGTAATCAAATATAAATTATAAATATAAAACATTTTTTAAAACAAATTCCCAGATAAAGTAAAACTTCAAAAGAGAATTATTCAAGATCAAGAAAGACATGGTGACACAACAAAATTAGTTAAAAATAAGTTTGTAAGCACACAAAAAAAGAGAAAGAAAAATAAAGACATTCTGGCAATTAAGCCCACAAGAAGTCATGAAAAAATGCAGATACACAGAAAACATGACTTAAAGTATTTTTTAATTAAAGTGAAACGGTTAACAATCAAAGAGAAAATGATAGGTATGGAAGGGAAAGGAAATTCAACATACACAAAATTGGAGATACTGAGAGAATGGAAATTAAGGGAATGATAAATATTTAAAATGTCAATCATGAAAAAGTCATAGAAACAACATAAGATTTGAATCTATAAACTGTACAAGCACATTATGTTCCTGGAAAGATAACAGGATGGTCAACACCAAGCTGTATTTTAGTAAATGTACCAGTCAGGGTCCATCAAGGACAGAATCCGAAGATCCTCAGCAAAATACTAGCAAACTGATCCAGCAGCACATCAAAGGGCTAATCTACCATGATCAAGCAGGCTTTATCCCTGGGATGCAAGGTTGGTTCAACGTACACAAATCAATAAATGTGATTCATCACATAAACAGAACCAGAACCAAAAATCATATGATCATCTCAATAGATGCAGAAAAGGTATTCAATAAAATTCAACACTGCTTCATGTGAAAACACCCTCAACAAACAAGACATTGAAAGAACATACCTACTTCAAAATAATAAGGGCCATCTATAAAAAACCCACAGCCAAGATCACACTGAATGAGCAAAAGTCAGAAGCATTCCTTTTGAAAACCGGCACAAGACAAGGATGTATTCTCTCATCACTCCTATTCAACTTAGTACTGGAAGTTCTAGCCAGAGCTATCAGGCAAGAGAAAGAAATCAAAGGCATCCAAATAGGAAGAGAAGAAGTCAAACTATTCCTATTTGCAGATGATATGATTATATACGTAGAAAACCCCATAGTCTCTTCCCAAAATCTCCTTAATCTGATAAACAATTACACAGTCTCAGGATACGAAATCAATGTATAAAAATCAGTAGCAATCCTATACACCAACATCCAAGTCAAGAACCAAATGAAGAACACAATTTCATTCACAAATGCCACAAAAAGAATAAAATACCAAGGAATACAGTTAACTAAGAAGGTGAAAGATCTTTACAATGAGAACTACAAAACACTGCTCAAAGGAATCAGAGATGGCACAAATAAATGGAAAAACATTCTACGATCATGGGTAGGAAGAATCAATATTTTTTAAATGGTCATAATGCCCAAAGCAATTTACAGATTCAATGACATTCCTATTAAACTACCATTGACATTCTTCACAGATTTTTTTTCCAAAAAAAAACTATTCTAAAATTCATAGGGAACCAAAAAAAGATCCCAGAAAGCAAAGGCAATCCTAAGCAAAATGAACAAAGCTGGAGGCATCACATTATCTGACTTCTAACTATGCTACAAGGCTACAGTAACCAAAACAGTATGGTCCTGTTTCAAAAATAGACACATAGATCAATGGAACAGAATAGAGAGCCCAGAAATGATGTCATACACCAACAACTATCAGCTATTAGGCAAAGTTGCAAAAATCAAGCAATGGGGAAAAAACTTTCTATTCACTAAATGGTGGCAGAATAATTGGCTAGCCATATGCAGAAGATTGAAACTGGACCCCTTTCTTACACCATATACAAAAATCTCAAAAAAAAAAAAAAACAAAACAAAACAAAAAACAAACAAAAAAACCTAGGCAATACCATTCTGGACATACAAACTGGTGAAGAGTTCACGACGAAAATTGATAAATGGGACCTAATTACACTAAAGAGCTCTGGCACAGCAAAAGAAACTATCAACAGAGTAAACAGACACCCTACACAACAGGAGAAAAATTCAGCAAACTATGCATCTGACAAAATCTAATACCCAACATTTATAAGCACTTAAAACAAATTTATAAGCAAAAAACAAATAACCTCCTTAAAAAGTTGGCAAAGGCTGAGCACAGTGGCTGATGACTGTAATCCCACCTTGGGAGACCTAGGCAAGCAGATCGCCTAAGATCAGGAGTTTGAGACCAGCCTGACCAACAGAGATGATGTGAAACCTCATCTCTACTAAAAATACAAAAAAAAAAAAATTAGGACAGTGTGGTCATGTGTGCCTGTAGTCTCAGTTACTCAGTTACTCAGTTACTGAGGCAGGAGAATCACTTGAGCCTGGGGAGCGGTGGCTGCAGTGAGTCAAGATTGCACCACTGCACTCCAGCTCAGGCAACACAGCAAGACTCCACCTAACAAAAAAAAAAAAAAAACATTGGCAAAGGACATACGCAGACACTCTTAAAAGAAGTGGCCAACAAGCATATGAAAAAATGCCCAACATCACTAATCTTTAGAGAAATGCAAATCAAAGCCACAATGAGATACTGTCTCACACTAGTCAGAATGGCTATTAATAAAAAGTCAAAATATAATAGATGCTGATGAAGTTGCAAAGAAAAGGGAATGCTTATACACTGCTGATGGAAGTGTATATTAGTCCAGCCACTATGGAAAGCAGTTTGGAGGTTTCTCAAAGAACTCAAAGCAGAATTACCATTCAACCTAGCAATCCCATAACTGGGTATATACCCAAAGGATGGTAACTCATTCTATTATAAAGACATTCACAAGTACTTTTACTGCAGCAGACACGGAATCAACCTAAATGTCCATCAACAGTAGACAGGATAAAGAAAATGTGTTACAGAGGGGGAGGTTCCAAGATAGCCGAATAGGAACAGCTCTAGTCTACAGCTCCCAGCATGAGCGACACAGAATATGGGTGATTTCTGCATTTCCAACTGAGGTACCAGGTTCATCTCACTGGGGCTTGTCCGACAGTGGGTGTAGCCCAGGAAGAATGAGCCAAAGTAGGGCAGCGCATCGCCACACCCAGGAAGCACAAGGGGTTGGGGAATTCCCTTTCCTAGCAAAAGGAAGCTGTGACAGATGGTACCTGGAAATTCGGGACACCTCCACCCCAATACTGCACTTTACCAACGGTCTTAGGAAATGGGACACCAGGAGATTATATCCTGTGTCTGGCTCAGAGGATCCCACACCCCTGGAGCCTCCCTCACTGCAAAGCACAGCAGTCTGAGATTGAACTGTAAGACAGCAGCGAGTCTGGGGGAGGAGCGGCCGCCATTGCTGAGGCTTAAGTAGGTAAACAAAGCGGCCAGGAAGTTTGAACTGACTGGAGCCCACCGCAGCTCAAGGAGGCCAGCCTGCCTATGTACACTCCACCTCTGGGGGCAGCACATAGTTGAACAAAAGGCAGCAGAAACTTCTGCAGACTTAAACGTCCCTGTCTGACAGCTTTGAAGAGTAGTGGTTCTCCCAGCACGGAGTTTGAGATCTGAGAATGGACAGACTGCCTCAAGTGGGTCCTTGACCACCGAGTAGCCTAACTGGGAGATACCTCCCAGTAGGGGTGGACTGACACCTCAGACAGCTGGGTGCCCCTCTGACATGAAGCTTCCAGAGGAAGGATCAGGCAGCAACATTTACCATTCTGCAATATT